TAATATATACTACTTAATTAATTATTACTAATTTTAAAATAAATTATTTAAAAGGGTAAATAGGATAGTTACTTATAATTATAAAGCTTTAAATAGAAGCTAAAGACTTATATAATAATAAGATAAAACTTTTATAGCTAAAAGTTATAAATATAAGCTTATTATAATTACTATATTCCTCTAAAATTAAAAAGCTAAAAACTAAACTTTCTAATAGGGATAAAATAGTAATTAAAAACTAAACTAATATTATAAGTATTTAAAATAAGTTTATTAATAGAGGTAAATTAAGAGGTTATTTTAAGGATAGCTATATAGTTCTTTTCTTAGTTATCTTACTTAAATAAGCTACTACTATTTATATTATAAAATAAAGTAAGAGGTTCTTATAAATTAAATTATATCTATAAAACTTAGTAGTAATTTATAATTTATACTTACTAACTAGAGGTAAAAAGCTTTAGTAATAGAAGCTCTTATTAGTAGTAATATTATTACTAAAATAGGTATTAAAAAGTCTTTTTATAATAAAGTAGTAAACCTAATTAATATAGTAAACTCTATAGTTATAATTATTAAATTACTATACTAAATTAACTACTTAAGTATATTATAATAAGATAGTAATAAGGTTTTTAAGTACTTTAAGTAGCTTATACTAAATAATAAAGGCTTTAATAGTATTAATAAACTCCTAATTACTCTACTAGTTAAAGTTTAAGTCTATAAAATAGCTCTTTCTATTAGTTTAATCTACTACTAAGTAAATAAAGTAGCTTTACTTAACTTATAAGAAATATATAACTATATTAGAATTCTATAAGTTATCTTTATACTTATCTATAAAAAGGTCTATATTAATAGCCCCCTCTTCTTCTTAGTTAGTATCCTATAATATAATATTTAGTAGGTAAATCTAAACCTTATAGTAGGTATCTCTTATAATNATAAAATATATTAATATAATAAGATATTTAATTTAGAAGAAGTCTTTTATATAGAGGATACTTTAAGTATTATATAGATTAATTAGTATTTTAAGTAATATAATAAGGTTTTAGTTAATTTATTTTCTAAAATTATTAAAGTTAGTAGTAAATTAGGTTTATAAAAAACTCTTTAAACTAAGATTTAAGTTATTATAGTATTTTATNAATAAATTAAGTTTATAAAGAACTCTTTAAACTAAGATTTAAGTTATTATAATATTTTATAGCTTAATAAGATCTAATTTCTTTAAACTATAAAGTTTTAATAGAACTATAAAAATATATAAACCTATTTTAAATAGTTTTAAAAATAAATTAAGTTTATAAAGAGGTATTTTTAATAAAGTAAAGTAATTAATATACTATCTTTATTCTTTTAAATTACTATAAAAGGTATTTTATATAAGAAATAGTTATATTTTATCCTCTTATTACTTTAAACTTAGTAATAACTATCTCTCTTATATTTTAAACTTAGATAGTATAGCTACTTTTAGGAGGTTTATTTATTAATATAAATCTATTATTTAATACTAATGTTAGTAGTCTGGTTAACTTATATAAGTAGGTATTGCAGTTCACTCTATATATTTTTTTTCTTTATATTTTAAACCTAATAGCAGTACTTTAACTTATACCTGATCTTAATAAAGTAAATAAATAAATCTTAGTATAACTAGTTGTTAACTCTTAGCTTAACTTATCCCTAGCTATATAGAAGAGGGTAGGTGGGCAGGTGGTAGGGCGGCAAAACGTACTAGTAAGAGTATTATTTGTAACGCTATTATTTATAAGAGCGTTGTTTATAATATTGTAAAGGTGTTATCTATAACGCAGAACGCTAATAGTATTTACAGTAGCTAGAGCTTAGCGATAGCTTGAACTTATACTTAAAGGTGTAAACTTAATAGTGTGACTTTTTGCTACTATAGCTAAAAGGGTTCTTATAGCTATAGTATAAGAACTTAACTACTACTTTAAATGAGGCCTTAAGCTTATTCCTTATATCCTCCTCTTATATATATAGTAACTATAATATCCTTCCCCCTCTTTAAATATGTATGTAAGCTAAGTAAAGCTAAGCTAGATAACTTAATCTATAAGACTAAAGTTAAGGATATTAAGGGCTTTAGTTATAGTTTACTTATTTATACTAATAAGATAACCCTTTTTAAATTTACTTAGCTATACCTACTTAAAGCTATAACTAATAAAGATGATCTATAGCAGTTATATAGCCTTAAGATTGATATAGATATAGTTAAGGCTACTAATAATAATCTTAACGCCTATAAATATCTTATAAGCTTCCTTGAGATAGTTAAGGCAGCCTAAGTAGTTAGTAAGTTAGGAAGGGCGAATATATTGAGAGTATGGCTGACGGCAGTAGGGCTGTTGAGACTGCGTAGTAGGGCGGAAGATGTTATCTGAACGGCGCGACGGCATGGAGGCCTTGGGGCCCCTGCGCCTGGCGGAGCTTATAGCGCAGACGTCTGAACAGCAAAGGAGATGATAGAAGACGGGCGCGGATTGAATATAGTGTGAGAAATGGAGGAGACTGATGGAGATGGAGGCGGCTGGAGGAAGACGGTTGAGGCTCGTTGTAATGGTTGAAGTTGGAGGAGCGTGGAGGTAAAGAAGATGTCTAAGTCTGAAAGTCACGTGACCTGAAGGTCGTTAGCAGAGGGCGAGGGGACTAGTCTAGCTTTTGCAGTTAATACTAGTTAAATTTCATAATATAAGGCTAGCGGCCCTTATTTAATACTAATAGAGTTAGTTATTCCTTACTTAGTAGGTTTAAAAATTTCCCTTTATTATTATATTTTAAATACTTATTATATAGTTTTTTATACTTTATAATAGCTTTTAAAGTAAGTAAATTAATTAGTTCTTATAATAGCTTTAATTTATTTATAAACTATTAAAGTTTAAATCTTTAGTACTTAAAACTTTATAGGATTTTATTAAATTTAGTTATAATATATTAAACTTAATCTATTAATATATCTTAAACTATTTTATTTAAATTACTAAGGTTACTAAAGTTATTAAAATACTTAAAGTAGTTAAGTATAATTACTTTAGAATATTATATAAAGCTAACTTATAGGATATCTAAAATAATAAACTATTAGAATAAAGTTTATTAAAAGTATTATTACGTATAGGCGTGGGTAAAAAGATATAATATTATAATACCTCTTCTAAGGGATTCCTAGGAGATTTCTCTAAGGAATACTTTAAGTATTTCCTAGGGAAATCTTAGGGAAATCTCTAGGAAATCTCTTAGGATTCTATATATAGTTTTTTAGGGAAATCCTAAGGAAATCCTAGGGAAGTCTATACTTAATCCCCTCTAGGAAATTATAGGGAAATCCTAAACTATAATATAATAATTACTCCTCTATAAAAAGAGTAAGTTTTATCTATAAACCTTAATACTAATAAACTATTCTAATAGGGGGAAATTATAGTAAAATTATAGAGAAATAGTAGTAGTAGTAACTATATAATTTTATAAGGAAATTATAATAAAATTATAGAGAAATAATAGTAATTATAGTAGTATAAGTTAGTAGGGAATTTATAATAAACCTTATAGAGGAATAGTAGTAATAATAATAGTAACTATATAGATTTAAGAAGTTTATTAATAAGCCTTCTTAGTAATATTATTAAATAATAGTTTAAGTAGAAATTATAGTAAAAGAGTAGAAAATATTTACTTAGACTAATACTACTAATAAATAAAGTTATTAAACTAGCTTAATTATAAGAAGTAATATAAGAGAATTTAAATATAGTAAGGTTTATAAGAGAAGAATACTAAGAGTAAAACTATATAGAAATTATAAAAGAAATAAACTATTAAGAAAGTAAGTTTTATAAAATCTATTTTATTTTACTTTCTATATCTATTTACTTAATCTAGCTTATAAGTTTCTCTATTCCTATTAATATCACTATATATAAACTTCTACTTTAATATAATCCCTATATATTTATTTCTTAGAAGTAGTAAATATCTTAAGCTTAGCCTAACTAGANAGTAATAGTAATATTATTATTATATTCTTTATCTATAATCTCTAAGAATTTAATAAAGTTATTATAAGATTTATTAATTATAGTTTAAGCTAAAATATTATTAACTAAAGTATAGTAAAAAACTTAGTAACCTTTAGTCTAGTTAAAGGAAAAAGAGGTGAAAAGTATTTAAAACTCCTTAGTAATATTCTACTTATAAACCTTTTTTATAAGCTTCTTATTATTAGTATTATAAGTAAATTATAGCTTATTCTCTTTAATTTAGTAAATAGAGAATTTAGTAATAAAGGTATTACTCTTAAGTAGGTTAATTAAGCTTAAAAAGTTAAAATTAATTATAAAAGACT